GATCAGCCGATGTATCGGGCGATCGCATGTGCCATCGCGCTCCAACGCCCGATCTAAACCGGTTGCGGCGCATCGGCTGCGCCGCGGGCAAACTGAAGAAACCTGCAATTTGAACGCGGTCGCCCGTCGCGATCCCGGCCACAAAGCCCCCGGGGCAATGGCCGGCATGAAAGGCGCACGCCTCTGCCAGAACAAAATTCCAAAACGTGCGCACAGATTCCCGCGATTCTGATCGATGAGACCGCCCCCCATTCTGGGCCCGCCGATGCGCCGAGACGCTGCATTCCAGACCTGCGGCAGGAGAAGCCCGTGAAACTTGGCAACCATATCCACAGGCGCAGAAGATGCGGCGTGATCCGCGCGCGCCTGAAGTCGGAATGCCCATCGGTCGCGACCACCCCACGTGATCCACGTCGGCACGTCGAAATGCCAGCCAGCATTGCCGATGATGGGCCACGGCGCCCCGCGGCCCGCGCGCGCGCTGAGGGGCCCGCTCCACCACGGCACCTTCGATGCCCAATCTCCGCTGAAAACCCGCGCGCTAGATCCTAGCCCTACGCGCGAAGGTCTAGGACTGTCGGTGGACATCGCCCAACAGCTAGCTGCCTCCTCGAGCGCGCCATCTGATCCCCCCCCCATCAGACCCCCGCCCCCGCGATCGCGAAGCCGATCTGCACGGGCATGTCAACTGCGCGACCTGCTGTTCCCTGCGCAACGTCACTCCGCGCTTGAGCACCTTTCCAGCGCAAGACGCGGTCGCGCGAGACTTGGCCTTGTGCTCGGCGCGCGTGGCTCCGCCATGCCATTTGACGCTTGACACGCCGCCTCCAAGATGAAATGCTCGACCTGCAAGCTGCGGCTAGAATCCGTGACCACCCGCGTGCCCGACGATTGCGCGCGCGTCCTGGACGCGGCTGCAGACGACCGCATCCTGGACAAGGTGTCCAGACCTGACTTCCTCAAATGGGTGTTCGCATCACGCAGGCTGGCCACCGTCTGTCTCCTCGCGCGCGCGCGACGCGTCGCGCGCCTCGCCGCGGTCGCCCGCCCAGACAGACGCGCGGCTGTCTCGGAAGCCATGAACTACCACTTGCAGACCAGAGGCCAGGCCCATGGGCGCGCCCCCATGACGCGCGCATCTCGCCGCCGCGCGTTCCCGGCGCTCAAGGCTGAGGGCCTCCGAAAGAGAAGCACGAATCGAAGCGCTGCCGCGACTCAAAACCGCCCCACGCTGTCGCTGGACGAAGCAACGTCGACGACCCACGTCCACGCGCAGCCCCAAGTCGCGCCGCGATCTCTTCGCCGGCTGCCTCGAGACGAACCTCGGGGGCCGCGGCGACGCCGTGAATGGCTCCGCCCGAGCGCGCCCCGCGCTGGTCGGCCCGAGACCAGGCTCGCACGGAGAAAGATTGCAAATGCATCGCTCATCGCTCCCGGTTCCCACTGGCACGAAAGTCCCAGGCATGCGCGGCGCCTGACGCGTTCAGATACTCTGCACCACGGAGCAGGAACGACGCCATCTCGGCGATGGCAACGCCATGGGGGTCTGCACACACCGAACTGCACGCAAGATCAATGCACGCCGTTGAGAATACCCCATGGGGCGCAGCGCCCGTCGGGTGGCATCCACCCCAAAGCGGGAAGAAGAGCACCGATGGCCAACTGTGCGGCTGCGGACAGGTCGTCCGAATTATCGAAGTCCTGGTCAGGTGGTCGCCGCACTTGTTCCCGAGGTTCAGCATTGCGCTGCACAATTGCCCCGGGGTGGATCAAGGCGCGATGCCCAACCACGATCTCCTCGTGAACTGGCGGGGACAGCCGAACACGCCGGCACCATGCCTTGGTCTTTACCACCCCTGAACTTCGATATAACCATGTCAACTGTTCTCGCTCGGCCGCTGCGCTATTGATGCCGAGTCCAGTAGTCGCGCTGCGCCACATTGCCCAGTCAATGCGTCGCGAGACGAAGACACGCTGCCCAATGATCGACGTCCCGCCTCCGTTTCACACCTCGGCAATATGCCGGCGCCCTGCCCGTGAATTCCCGTGCAGCCTGTAGAGGCCAATATTGTCGCTTTGGCCCGCTGCCCCGCGGCTTGCGCCGCTGGCAACTGCTCTGGACCGTGGAAAGCCGAGTTCACCACCAGCTGACCGCGTCGCCAAATTCTGCCGGGCATGGGGGGGCGGCGGAGGCAGCTGAACACTTGGCGACGCAAAACTGTGGATCGCGCCCTCGCGAGGGGGGGGGCTCGCACTCGGCGGCGGGCATGGGCCGCTGCCCGAATACAACAGAGCGCGCCGATGCATGAAGATGCGCGGGCGCCGAGGCGGAAAACTGCGGAGGGCGCAACGACGTGGTCAGTGAGACAGGGCGAGTTCGGAAAGACCCCGATGCTTCTCTCGGCGGCAATCAACCGCCCCTCTGAACTCACGCTGCAACCACGGGGGGCGCCGAATTCAAACATTTGTCATCAGCCTTCGCCGGCGGGCCCACATTTACACACAACGAATATTCTGGCATCGGGAAGGTCGAGAGGTTCGCACTGGCGAGGACGGCCTGCCCTCTTGCCGTTGCCAATGCCAGAAGCGCCACCGCTGACGACAAAACTTCGTCTCATTTGCCGTTACTGCCTTTCACCTCTCGGCTGTTGGGCCGCGACGCATGCGGCCCTCCTTCCCCCGCGTTTCGTTTGACTCTCGGCTGCGCGCGTGCCCCCGCCCGCGCAGGGGCGCCATCTGCGCCGAACGTCGCCGCGTCAATGCCTGCGCGCAAGAAGGAAGAGGGGGCGTTTACGAGCGCGCAAGCAATCCTCGGCTATATCAGGGAACGCTGGGCCACGAAAACTGCGATACATGGCATCTGGAACCTGGACATCCGAAAAGGCGATCGCTGTCTCAGACACCCCCATTCCCAAGTGCCCAAGTAATATGCTTACACAGCGCTAGATAAATGAATGTCGGCAAATGCGTGAACGATGCGGGCAAGATTGGCTAGCAACCGACCTACACATGAACGCGGCTCTACACGGGCCAGGTTCATCCACCAACGGACAACCATGCACTCTGTCAATTCCCCCCCCTTCCTCGGCCCCGTGGAAGAAAAACAAAAAAACAAAAACAAAAAAAACTCTGGGGGGGGGCGCTTTGGTGCCTAGGGCAACATTTCGTAGCATGTGAATGTCCGTTCGCTTAAATCGGGAGGAGGATCCAGGATCGAAAAACCATGTAACATAATTGCAAATGTCGTGCGATACGCATCCTCTGCACACACTGCAAGATGTGGTCGTGAACTATTACACCCCGCGGATTTGCGTCGGGCCGACTTGAGGCGAGCTCTCCGAACGCATCCTCCACCAGAAGCTCGCCAAATGGGATTGATAGAATCTGCATATGTGACCCGAGGTGGGTATGCATATTCAGGGACCGACATTCACCTGCCAGCTCTGGCTTCGATGTCGAAGGGCGGAGTGCGCCAATCACTCGAGACTTCTTGGGGGATTAAGGAACGCACCTGCTAAGAATTCACCCAATGCCCTATGCTACGCATGGCGCGCCAGCAGAGACCCGCCACCGCCAGTTGTATCTAGCGAATGTGACCCTTGCTCGGCCAGAATCGCTTGACCGCCGAAAGAGCAAAACTATCAACCTGAATGGAATGCTGGCCTGCTGCCAAACACGCCCCATCAGAAAACAAATCTTCGCAACATGGTTTATCTGTCCTAGCTCAACCTGAACCCAGAGTTGGGGTCAGCCTCGGTCCAAGAAGCGTATCCTATGTATAAAATGAGATCTGACCGCTGGGTAACATTGCTGCCAACGTCCTCTTAGGGGACGGAAGACAAAACCAACAGCCTCCTGCTTTTACGGGTTACACTTGAGGCAAACTTCGTCAACTTCGCAATCTAGCAAACACTCATGTTTAGAAGCCGCCTGGCGCGCGCTACATCCATGGAGAACCTCGGCGCGAATACGTGTATCTGGTTAAGCAAATCATCCGCAAATTTGGTGAACCCGAGGTAAGCGCAATAGGCTGTGTTTACTCTCGTGTTTGGTTTGTTTTTTGTTGTAAAATATATGCATCCAACAACTTCCCCTGGGGATCCTCACCGCGACAGGCTTTGACCCAACGGTCCGTCGGTGGGCGAACAACGTTTACAAACGACGCCACCGCGAAACCATCCCCTTGTCGAACACATCAAAAACTACACTTAGCAAAAATCCACCCAGTTGCGGGGACCAGGGGGGGCAATCAAAATTCGGTTAGGCGCGCTGGTCGGTCTGGGTGGACGGGCACCGCCTCGCGACCTACGACGGGGAGCGCTGGTCATGCGAAACACGTGGGGCGCCAAGCGTTGCAACTATCAGCATGTTTCACGGCGGGGCTAAGCGGCTGCTGCAACAGGAAATGATAACGCGAACTGCCGCTTCATCCGTGGAGGGGGGATCCAGCACGGAAAAGAATTCGAAGGCGTGGGGCGTCTGGCCAAGCATTTACTCACGGCACGCATAGAACCGATCGCGGCTACAAAACTTGGCGAAACACGGGGATGAGGTGGAAGTGGAAGGACATAATGAAAGAGGCTGGTAAGGCACGGAGACACGAGACGAGGGAAGAGATCACGCCTGAGGCAAAGCGGCGCCCCAAAGCACAGAAAACACTGGGGTCATCATACTGGGGCAGAGGCGGGGAAGGGCAGCGGGCAGTGCGAGGCGGAAAAGGACAGCGGCCATGCAGGTGGTTTCGCTGAGCCTGAGGAAGTGGGAAGTCGGCGGGGAGCGGCCCTGGGGACGGGGCCTCGGAGATGGGCAGCACGGGCAGCCGATGCTTCGCCAAAAGGGGACACGTACAGAACTACACTTAGCGGCCGGGGCACGGTACACGTCGGGAGCGCGAGTCGCGCCCCCGACATGTACCCCGCCCCGCTGGCTAGGTGTAGTTATATGAGTGCTCTGTTTTGTGAGGATGTCCCTGGCGAAACCAGCACGTACAGAACTACACCTAGCGCCTGGCTAAGTGTAGTTCTGAACGTGCTGGATGTCTCGAGCGGGGCGAGCACGTATAGACCGGCACCTAGCGAAAGTGGCAGGGTACAGGTCGGGGGCGTCGCCGCGCCTCCCCGCAGAGTCAGGAGGGCAGGGGCCACTGAAATCCCAGCCGCCCTCAGGGCGGCGGAGGCTGGACGTCCCAGGGATGCCCGAAAGGGACCCAACTGCGGCCAAGGGCACGCAACGAGGTCCCTGGGGGCCCCAAGAGCGCTCCACGACCTCCAGCCGCAATCTGAGGTCGTAGCGTCTTGGGGGTCTCCTGGAGCGCTTGGCGGGGTCTTGGATTCTTCCTGGGGCGCTCGGGAGGTCCCAGGAGCGCACCTGCTCGCCACGACATCTGGTCTCGATCTGGAGGTCGTGGCGTCTGGGGCCCCCGTGGGGCGTTTTGGGGGCACTGGGGGTTCCTCCTGTAGCCCATCATGGGTCCCACGAGCGCTGGTGGTCGCTACGACCTCTGACCTTGTTCTGGATCCCTCCATCCTCTTTGCCCCCCCCGTGATCAGGGCAACTCGCCTGGTGACGATGTTTCGAAGATTTTAAAAGATATGCGCGCTCCGCCTCCGCCTCCTAATCGCGAGTTGTTATTTCTGATTCCACGCCGACTCTGGCTAGCGACGTCGAGGCCCTCGCAAATCCGACAAACGCGATGACCCCCCCTCGAATGGCGGGCAAAACAAATTTTGGAACGATAGCCCAAAATTAATTTTGAAATTTCGGGATCCGCGAGAGAAACTAATCCACTCGCCCAAAGTGTAGCTCTCTATCTGTCCGACCTTGGAGCATGCCGCATCCAGCTCGCAAAAACAAGTCCGCGCTCCCCCCGCAGGGATCACCGTGCAAGCACGCCTGTACCTCGGCCTGCAAAAATGGACCTCCGACCCTCCAGCCATCCCAAACGGGGATGTATCCAGGGCTTCCCACCTCGGAGACGCAGAAGCGCTGTGTTGTCATCCCGGGGTGGATCAATCCCGCGTTAATCAAACGCAAAGAAACACACAAACTCACTGCGATGGCATGCACTCGTCGCCCCCTTGATGCGAACCCGTGATCCATCTCCGAATTGACGAAAAGAAGACGGTGGGGGAGGATGAGGAGGAGGGGGAGTTTGAGGCGGAAGTGGAGGAAGGGGTGGGGGAGGGGGGGGGGAGAAGGCGGAGGAGGAGGAGGAGGCGGAGGAGGAGGGGCAGGTGGGTGTGGTGGGGGAGGAGGAGGAGGAGGAGGAGGAGGAGGAGGAGGAGGAGGAGGAGGAGGAGGAGGAGGGAGAGGAGGGGGAGGAGGACGTGGAGGGGGAGGGGCGGGAGCGAATCATGAGGCGGTCGGAAGAGGGGGGAGGTGGAACTGGTGGACGGGGGAGAGTAGGAAGAGCAGGCACAGGGCGAGGAGGCAACGGCAGCTCGACGTCGAGGCAGCGCGAGCTTACGGCAAGGAGTGGGCCCTGCCTGTCGCTGGCGTGAGCAGGGTCGTCCACGGCGAAGCCGAGACCGAAAACCGACCGACCTGACAGCGGCCCTGGGACACACAAATAAATACACACAAATAAAAAGATTCCCCATATTTTCCAATATTTTCGGGGTTTTCGTCATCCCCCCCACTTCCCATAGTTTCCCATATTTTCTAGGGAATCGCCGATTAATTGTGTCTGTGTGTGTTTTTTTCCCTCCTGAATGAACGCAGCCGAGAAGCGGCGCAGCGACGCGGCAACGACGCGACAACCGACCGAACACCACCAACCGAACGCAACGAGCTGCGAAACGAGCGGACCGACCGAACCGCAAATACCCGTCCTTCTCCTCCTCGCCCTTCTCCTCCTCCTCCTCCTTCTCCTCCTCCTCCTTCTCCTCCTCCTCCTCCTCCTGCTCCTCCTCCTTCTCCTTCACCTCCTCCTTCTTCTCCTCCTCCCCCTCCTCTGCCTCCTCGTCCTCCTCCTCCTCATCCTCGTCCTCCTCCTCCTCCTCCAGGTCTGGCTCCGGCCTTGCCGGCGCTGTACATCAGCAGCCCGAAGATCGCGGGCAGCAGCTGGGGGTGCAGGCCCAGGGCCGCGATCGGCTCGATGCGGGCCTCGGCGGGGCTGGCCCCCCCGCTCCTTCTCCGCATCTCTAAAAAGACGAAGCCAAGAAGAAGATCCCTCTCGGCGCGACGTGAATCTAGGACCTCTGTGAACTCGTGGGCTTTGGAGGACGTCGGGCGCACTCATCGTTCCGGAGCGCTCAAAAAAACACGCTGCGATTGTTCCGGAACTCCCACCAAAGATACATGCTCGTCCTGCATGCCTCGTCATACGTGGAGCAAGCCTTTTTCGGGGCCAATGCGTGATGTGTGCTTTCCAGGTCCCTGCAACAATTCCAGTCACTACACTATGGCCATAGATATTAGAGGTTCCGGTTCCACTGACGCAATGATTCAACATCCGCGCGAGGGGGGGACAGTCATCGTGCTACCACAAGGAACGCCAAAATAAGGAACGAAGGGGCTTTCGGGCCGCGGCAATTCTCGGCCACAGGCAGGTTCCCCGACCTAGCCCTAAAGAACAGCCCGAAAACCCGAGTCCCTCCTGAGCCCAAAGCGTTCCTTCTTTCAGCGGCTTGACTGTACGCCCGGGACCCGGTTACCAACCCAGACTTGCAATGCCCGAATGTATTGGAGGCCATGAGGAAAATACAAAAATAACGATTCGCGTTTCCGAGACCACACCCCTTTTCGTCACGTTCGCATTCCGGAGGCCGCAATCCGTGGTTCGCACCCCCGCCGACACAACGCCTTGCAAACAGCAACGGGTTCGCGCCCCAGACGCCACAGCCCCTTTCAAATTATGCCAGGCTCATCCTGTAATTCAGACTCGCGCTCCCAGAGCCACACAAATCCCTTTTACTCTTCATCAGGTTCGCGCTCCCGAGGGTGCAAGCCCTTGCAAATTACTACGAGCTTGCGACCGCGAAACCACAGGCCATCGTAAATGAGAACGCGATGGCGCTCCCGAAGCCACAGCCCCAGCAAATCAAACCATGTTCCAACTCCCCAGGCCACAACCCTTGAAAATACAGTCAACCCGTATAGTAAGGTTATTTATTTATTACTTTTGAATTAAGCAGCATAGAGGACCACTCCGTGAAAGATTCACCTGCTCGTGATAAGTACGTATACTACGCGCGAGAAGGATGCAAGAGCCTTGCCCGCCGATTTCGAAGCTTTCCGAGCGCGGGGCGGCCAACGAAAGTGGCCAAGGATGGAGCGAGGAGGCAAGGATGCAAGGGTACCCTTGGGAAGGTTCCCCATCCCTACTACGCGAGTTGACTGTGCAGACAAGTTAAGCCAAAATCGCTTGTAAATGACAGCGCGCTGGTGCTCTCGAAGCAAGAACATGTTCTGAAGTACGCCGCGCTGACGTTTCCGACGACACACAGCCGAACAAATGACTTGAACCAAGAACTACGCGCAAGCGCTCCCAAGGTCGTGCACCCATCTTGCCGAAGGCTGCCCCGAAGCCTCACCCCACTCTCCAGAGCAGAACGACTGATATGTTCTGGATTGGCATATATGTTCGGAACGCGCTTTTCGGCTCCTCCGTCGTTTCCTAAAAAATTGGTACTCAAGGCCACGAACCCTCATGAATAACTCAGGGCACACGCTCCCGAAACCTAAACAAACGGCGTGAATGTCAATGGAAGCGCGATCCCGAGGTCAGACATGGTTACAAGATTACAGATGCGGGTAGTCAGCCCACGACAAGCAGCTCAAATATGAACCGCAACCCCTCGTGTCAGACAATCGTACTCCGAGTTTCTGTAGAAGCCTAGGGAGGACAGTCACCCCCGCCGACAGCTCCTCATCGACCCCCGTCGCGGGCAGCCACCGCGCGCCGAAGGCGCTCCGACCCCGCGATGACGAGGCGAGGTTGACCCCCGTCAGAGGTGTACCCCTCCACGCTTATCAAGGCAGACAAAGAAAGTATAAGCCGAGGGGCCGGCAAACAAGCCGACTAGAAAACCAACCAACCTAACCACCATGCTTGGCCGCGCAAGCAATCTTAGAAAAAAAAACGCAACAGAGGACAAAACCCTTCAGACATCCTGCCACGCAAATGAACTCCATGGGGTTGCACCTTGTCGGACGCTTGCCCCATCGACCGTCAGGCCTGAGCCAGATCGAGTCGCGAAATCGCATCGGATCGGGAACGCATCGCATCGCCAAGGAATCGGCTCCAAACCGAATCGAGATCGGATCGCCGAGACTGGCTCCGGCTGGCCTCGGGCCGATGCCCGCGAACTGACTACCTACCAGGCCACACCAACCCAACCCGAAGACTCGAATTTCGAGTTGGGGGGGGGTATGGGCTCCACATGTGTTTTTGTTGCGACTTTCCCGGACCCCCCACCCACCACTGAAAGTGGAGGGCAAATAGAGGCCTTCAGGGTTGGGCTGGGGTGGCTTGGTGGGTGGTGACGAACCGAACCCGGGCGGACCGGATCGGAAGCGAAGCCCCCGCCAGCGGGCCGAAGCGCATCGGAGTTCGGATCGTGCGCAGCCCTGCCCGGTCCCCCTGCTGCGGAGAAGCGGGGGGGGCGCCGCAATGGCGGACGCTCACCCGCACGTCAGCTGGGGCATGCGGTGCCAGCACGGGGGCCATCTCCAGGAGAACAGAGGGGCGGCGGCGGTCTCGTCAGGAGCACGGGTCGCGAGTCGCCGACATCGAAGGGGATGACAAATTGCCCTGGCTCCTCGAGTGCGCTCTCTGAAGCGGGGTCTGTGCCCGTGGGGGGGGGGCCCGCAGCACCTCGGCACGTCCACGGAGGAGGAGAGCGGAGGGAGGGAGGAGGGCGGGCGGGAGCAGAAGACTCTGGAGCGGAGCCCTGCTGAGGAGGACGACCGGGTGAAGAGTTTAGCTGCTGGGGAGGGAAGACGGGCGAGGGAGGAGGAGGGCAGGCGAGGGAGGAGGAGGGCAGGCAGAAGCAGGAGACTCTGGAGGGGAGCCCTTCTAAGGAGGACAACTGGGTAAACATAACGTTCGAAGATCCGCGCGGACGCGGAACAAAAACATAGGACGATGCCGCTCTCTCTCTCTCTCTCTCTGAAAGGGGGGGTCTTGCTCTGTTCCGCAACGCCAGCCCTTGAAGGTCTGGACCCTTTATTCCCCTGGACTGGCTTTTCACCCCGCTCGGTAATTCGACGGTACTGGCGCCCAGTAGTGATCCCTAGGGGCCGAGGACTACAAAGCAAACAAGAACTCAGCCACGACGAGAGGACTGAAGGAGACCCAGGGATAAGACAACCATGATGTCATGATGCAATTGGCCAATGCGCTCCAGGAACTTGGGAGTATCTGGCGGCCCTCGATTCTGGAGCCCTCGCGGAATGAACGGGCAGGTTGCGAGAAACCTTGGATGGCCTGAAACGTGTCAACGTCATGAACTCTCGCTCCTCTGAATACAGAAAAGAAGCGACGAAGTGTCAACCACAGCCGCGGGGCCGATGAAAAACATCCCTGGCGCCCTCCCAGGCACGACCCCGACCGCCCAGCGGTGACGACCTGCATGCGGCGCCCGTTTCTCGAAGGCCGCGTGCAGATCCTCACCGCCGGGGGGTCCAGGTCAGCCACGGAGGGGCGCCAGGGGCGGCTCCCTCAGCCCAGCGGTTGTAATCGTCTCCCTCTCGCCGATGAAAACTAGCGACACCACCTCAGCTGAGGCCACAAGGGGGCTCAGCGCATACCCGGAAACCCGGCGTGGGCTTTCGCGTGGTGTACGCTGCGGCGCCCGATGGGCCGTAGCGCAACATGGAGGGCCGCAGGTGGAGTGGTGTCGTTTGTTCTTTGGTCGACATGATTGTTTTTGTTTCTCGCTTTTGGTTGTGTTGTTTGCTTGTTGATGTTGTTTGTTGTTTGTTTTGTATTTTGTTTTGTTTTTGTATTTGGAGAGACCGCGGAGTCCGGGCCGCAGCCTCCCTGGGGGCGGGGGAGGGGGTGCGCGAGCAGCCCCCCGACGCCGATTGCCGTGTTGGCAACGTCGACCCCCCCTGGGGAGCCTCGACCCGCTCCCCTTGGAGCCGCGTTCCGTGCCTGGTGCAGGGCAGGAAGCCATCCCCCACCAGGATCACCCCCACGCACGGAGCCGTTTGGCAAACGCACCCACGGAAGGAATCGAGCGGGGCAGGGCTGTTTAGCAAACGCCCGGGGCCGCTCATGAAACGCCAATCGTCGGGTCCGGGTGGTTGTTCCTCCCTCGAGGGTGGTCTGCTGATGGCCCTGGGACCCGGCGAGGGCCCCTGGAGATAGGAAACCGCAAACACCTCCTGTCGTGATCTCCTCGAGACACGAGGGTGTCTGGGCTCGGCGGAGTGCAGGTCGACCACCAGACCCCTCCCGAGGTGCGCTCGGACCAGAATCTGGGCGAGCGATGCCGTGGCGACGAGCAGGCACCCTGGGCCAGGCGAGCAGCATCGCCGAACCTGTCCCCCATGCTCACGGGGCGATGGCATCGCGGCCCCACCAGCCCACCCTCCTATGGGCGAGCCACGATCGAAAACGGATCTCACGCGAGATGGCATGGCGACCTTACTGGGGACACCAGAAATTACCGATACCGCTACTCCCCGGACATCTCCCGGGGTGCGTTCTGACCAGAATCTCGAAGCGAATCCAGCGGTGGCGACGAGGGCTGCCCAGGAGGCCCGAAAAGGGGAAAGCGGGGGCAGGGTAGAGAGGTACGGGTATCCGTTCCACTGACTTACGCGGCGGCTCACGCGGGCCGCCGGCGCGACACGCCACTCTGGAGACGCGGGCGCTCACGCGCGACCGTACGCGGGCAGCTTGCGCGTCGGTGTCGGTTGTTCTTTGTTGGCATCGCTGGGGTGGGGTCGGGCCCCGCGGAGCCCAGAGGCACAGGCCCAAGAGCCCCACCTCGGCATCAAGGCACGAGGGGCGTCGTAGCCCCACGGGGGGGGAGGGAAGCAAGCAGTGGGGGTTTTGTGGCATCTTGGGGGCCTCGGCTGCCCCATCGCGCCAGCCATCCGCGTCGCATCCAGGTCGAATCCGTGTCGAATCCGTGTCGCATCCGTGTCGAACCCGCGTCGAATTCACGCCGAGTCCGCGTCGAACCCACGTCGGAGTACCAGACAAGACGGCCATTCTCAGGGCAAGAAGAGGTCCCCCCAAGCGAACGCTCGACGCGCGGACGCTGGCACGCACCCCGAGCCTGGAGCGCCGATACGCGAACCGAAGAGCGGCCGATCGGGCCTCCTTCGTCCGAAAAATGTGTACTATATATATATATATACACATCTATACATCTATATAACCACATATATATACATATATATATACTTATATATATATATATATATGTATATATATACACACACCGCTGCTTCCCAGGCCTCTCCCAGGAGGCGCTCTGACCCGAACTTCGAGGCACATCGAACCGTGGCGACGAGAGCCTCCCAGGGAGGCCCAGACGGGCGAGGACGAGAGAGGAGGCAGCGGTGCGGGTACCCGCTCCTCCTCTCGGGAGCGGCCAGGAGAGGGGCGTCCAAGAGGGGGGCAGCAAATCATGGCCGGCGGCATGTGCGCGGCCCAGAGGAGGCGCCGTGGACGTAACGAGATAAGAAGAAACGCCATGAAGTCGGGGGGACTATCAAGGCCCACGCCATGATATCCACCCCGCCCCTAGTCGTCGCCCCCCTCCTGGCCGCCCCCGATCCTCCTCCGTGTTCTTCCCCGACGGGCCCGCCCGGAGCAACGCGGGCACCCGCCGGGCCTCCACGCGGTCCCAGCCCTCCACCAGCAGCACCAGCAAGATCGGCGCCAGGAAGCGCCGGCCGCCCTGCCCGCGCCAGGCCTCCTCCTGCTCCTCCGCTCCTTGTCCTCCAAGCCCTGGTCCGCCCATCTGCTCCCAGCCCTTCTCCGCCACATCCTCTTCCGCCCCAACCCCCCCTTCCCCCTCCTCCGCCTCCTCCTCCTCCTCCTTGTTCCTTTTCCTTCCTCCTCCTCCTCCACCTCCGTTCCCCTTGCTCCTCCTCCCCTTATTCTCCTTTCGTTCCCTCCTCCCATCCTGATCACCCTGCTCACACGATTGTCCCGGATAAAAAGTGCCATCCCTCGCGCTTCGTCCTTGCTGCCCTGGCCCGAGGTGCCGTTCGCGCGCTGCTCTGCGTTCCATGCCTCAGAAAAGCCTGGGTGGGGGTAACACATATGTTCTCCCATGTATCGAGAAACCCTATTGAGGGATGAACGAACGCGGCGTCACTCACACAGCAATCTCGTCACCTTGCCAAGCGGCCTCACTGTGAGAAAGCCCGAGGATCCCAGAAGAGCAGCGGCGCTCGCGCAGGCTGCAACGAACCAGACGAGCCGGGAGGCGCATGACAATTGGAACGGGTGAGCTTGTGGCGGCTGGCATGCCATCAAGGACAGGTTGGTAGGCGGGATGGCATAATTTGACGTCGCTGGCGAATACTAAGACAGGCTGCTTCGCAGTGAATGGCCGACCTGCGTTGAGGACAACGGTCGAGATCGACAGAAGCCCGAAAAAGCTGGCAGAACCACGAGCTGTGATGTGCAGGGTGGGGCAAGACGAAGCCGCCATAACCGTGTTGGACCGAGGCCGCCCTCGTGCTCACGCCGCGATGGAAAGCGCAACAAACCCGCGATGGAAAGCGCAACAAACGGATTCGGGGAGCTCGGAAGGCGCCGCGCCGCGCGGGCTGCTGGGGCCCGCTCATGCTCCGACATCGGCTCTGCCGGGGGGGGGGCTCGGCGCTCGCAGCGGGAAGCTCCGCCCCAGGACCTGGCCGCGGCTGCCGCGGCCGCGCCTCTTGCTGCCGCCGCCGCGCCCGCGGGCCCGTGAGCCCACGCGGTCCGAAGGCACTCCCCACGGAGACGTCTCGGGCCAGCCGGTGCCCCCCTCTCGCCCGGCGTCGCCGCGGCTCCGCGCCTCGTGGAGGCGCCGCCGCAGCACCGCCAGGCGCCGCGCCGGCTTCCCTGCGCTCGAACGCCGCCGGCGCTCTCTGCGATGCCAGGTGAGCGCTCGCGAGCACCTTGTCGCCCCTCCGTGGTGGGGCCTGGGGGTTCTGGCGCTGCAGGCCGCCCGCCGCAGGGCAGAATAGCTGCGGGGCCGCGCAGCCAAACCACCTGCGGGGAGGAGGAGGAGGAGGAGGAGGAGGAGGAGGAACAGGAGGAGGGGGAGGAGCAGGAGGAGGAGGAGGAGGAGGAGGAGGAGGAGGAGGAAAAGGAGGAGGAGGAGGAGCAGAGGAGGAGGACACGGACAAGGACAAGGCGAACCGGGGGGACACGCAGAGTTGATTGCCTGCCACGAGCCTTGGTGCGAGGGAAGGGCCTGGCAGGACTCAAGACCTCCTCTTGTTACCTTTTTCTGCCACCTCCGAGAATCGGGCCGATCGGATCGAACTGGACCCTGCTCCCCCCAGCCCACAACCCTCCCGCCAACGCCATGCCCATCGGATTGTCCGCGTTGTCGGTGTACGAGGACAGCCTGCCACGGGCGCGGAGGGGGCTCCCCCGAAGAGGTGCTGGGGGCGACGGGCGTCCCGGCGGCCTCCCGCCTCTCTCCCAGGGCCGCCCCACTCGATGTGGTGTTGCTACTGCCGCTCGTGTGTTGCTCTTGCTGCGTTGCTCACCCTCCTCCCTCCCCCCGCCCTCCTCCCCCCCCCCACCCACCACCACTCCTGCCCCCCCCCCTTCGCGAGGCCTGATCCCCTCGTGAGCCCTGCCCACCCTCTTCCGCCATCCTGAGCCCTGCCCCCCCCCTCCCCCCCTCCCACCACTCCTGCCCCCCCCCCCCTCTTCCCGCCCGCCTCTCGTGAGCCCTGCACCCCTCCCCTCCCACGCCCCCCGTCACCCTCCTCGCTTCTCATCCCCATCCCCATTCCCTTCCTCCTCTTCTCCACCTCACGACTCACGACGTGTGCTGAACCACCTTCGCTGCACTGAGCAGTGGCAGTGTACCTCGTTTACACGGTGACCGCAAATTTAGAAACGAATCGCAAGCCATCGTAACCACCGCAATCTCTATTGCGCTGCGCGCCACAATGAATGTCATCGCCACAATGATCATGACATGATCCATGAACACGCGCTTGAGAATGCCAACGTAATAAACTCAACCCGTGAGGGTCTGTTTACCGACCCTTTGTATGCGCGTTCGGAGCCGCGAACTGGGCCGCAGTATGTGTGGTGCAAGGTATCTGCGGAGCTCCAGCACCGATTCACGTGGATCAGGACACAAAAAACACCACCACCCCCTACGGTCCCACAGGGCTTAGCGCATACCAAAAAATCCGGCGTGGGTTTTTGCATGGTATACGCTAGGGCCCCCGATGGGCCATAGCGCAACATGGAGGGCCCTAGGTAGGATCGTGTCGCTTGTTTGTTGCTCATTACCCCATACCCAGCGCAAGGCCAGATCACCGTTCTGAGTCAGACGCGCGAGACGAACAAACTACTTTTGGCGGGACGGGCCATGGCGGGCCGACATGGCACGCACCGAAACCCCGAGTCGGCTTCATACCTCACGCTGACACAACAACGGCATTCTGGGCCAAGAAATGCAGAATACGGACGAAGGCATACCCGACGGGCGGACGAAGTGGGTAGAAACATGAAGTAGGAAGGCGTTGGAAGTAGATTGGACTTCCGCCCGCCCCCCTGGAGGAGAGAAGAAAATGAACCGCTCGACCCTTGAAGTAGGAAGAATTCAACCAAAGCAGATTGGGATCTGGAAATCAAGAAATACATGATTTCAACGACCGTCGTGTAACTCTGAGTCACGAGTAAAGCGGGCGCTGGGGTGAACACACTACCAAGAATGGGACCGCCGCCACTGCGACAACACCATCTAATCCCGAGAGCCTCTGGGCCCGAGTGGTTTAAAGCGTTTCCTCTTCCAACCTCCCTTGCTCCCCTCCAGGAAAGGGTTTACAATTACTCAATATGAATACTACTCTCCCTCTTCCCCTGATGACGGTTTGACAGTGCTCGACCCCCCCCCCGCGTACTGTTTGTTTACCCCCTGGTTTCCCCGGATTGGGTTTTCGCCTGCATTTGTTTCCAAAATGCTGCTCTCGCTGGGGCGCCGGCTTCATTTTCGGGCCTCGCTCGTTCCGAATCGTGCTCCCGCTGCAGCGCTGGCATCATTTCCGTGCTTCCGCTCGTTCCGAATCGTGCTCCCGCTGCAGGGCTGGCCTCATTTCCGCGCTTCCGCTCGTTTCGACTCGTGCTCCCGCTGCAGCGCTGGCGTCATTTCCCGTGCCATGCCACGGCATGCAATGCAATGCTAGGTTGATACTACGCTTCGCGGTGCTCTTCTAGGCCATGCCATGCCGTGCTCTACAATGCATCGCGTACCCTTTCGGGATCATTGTCCTGCTCGACATCCGACTGTGCGACTAGAGAGGGGATCTGCGCCATGGTAAGGGATGGGAGGGAGGGGTAGGATGTCAGATATGACGCGAGCGCACCTAGCTTGATCCCTCCCCCTCCCCCCTACCCTTGGACCTGGACTTCGGGTTTCGCGACCCATTGGGGCGTCCAAGAATGTCGGCGAGAAGGCACAAAACAGTGGTTGACTATGGATTTGGACACATGTTGGCCGCTTGGGGGGCATGAAATGCTGCCCCCCCTACTTTGATCGATTTCCTTAAAGATGGCCCAAACATAATTTTTGGGACCGCCAAGTCGTCAGCAATCCGCAATAAAGGTACACGTGTTTCTGGGTCGGAGCCACCCGTGGTCAATGATTATCCTCGCCGTCATTATGCTGCCCGAGGCCGCCGGTATTTGTTTTATCTGTCAGCTCGTTGCTTACGAGTGGAGTTATACATATATTGTGCCACGCTCCAGATAATTATCTCATGTGCGGAAAACGCCGAGGAACATGAGGTACGTCCAATATGGTGAGGGTTTGTTTTCCGAAGTCTTCTGCGAATGCTGTTTCGAAGTGGTGGGCCTTGCCGTTTCACAAGGTCTGTTCTTGGTTGTGGCTTCCAAGTGCAAATTGAGCTACTCACAAGATGTCCTGGTTAGGCCGTGATATTCCACATACGCTCTGTTCTGGGAGGCTGCGGTTGTCGGCCGTTGGCCGTTGTTCGTGGAGCCTGCACGTGTTCATCCACATCGTCTCGTTGCTCTGGAGACCTGTTTCAACGTGCGGGAAAGCGCCGAGGAACACGAGGTACTTCCGATAAGATGACGGGCTTTTCCGAAGAAGTCTTACGTCGATGCTGTTCCCGAGTGGTTGGCCGTGGCTGTTGGCAATGCCTGATGCTTGGTGGTGGCTTCCAAGTCTGATTGCAACATGTCCTGGTTTGGCCGTGATATTTCACATACACTCCATTCTTGGAGGTTGCCTCGCCAGCCGTTGCTATTTTGAGGAGTTCGTCTTCGGGCGCGTTCGCGTGCTCATCCACGTCGTCTCGCTGCTCCACGAGCTCAGGGCAAGTGTCTTGATGGTGTGCAATCCTGCTGTTCTTCCTCATTCCTCCTCTCTCCTCACCCTGCCCCTTCCCCTTCCCCTCCTCCTGCTCCTCCTCCGATCCTTCCTCAGTCATCCACCTCTTGGGGTGCGGCGGCTTCCTGATCCCTTCATTCCGCTGCAAGCTCCTCCACATACCCGATCGGGGCAACTCGCCTGGGCATCGTTTCTGGATGGGCTGGCGGGGCTAATTACGCGAAGCATCTAGAATTACAGCCAGGAGTGTGGCCGGCGTCGAAGCACCAGGGCGGCCAAGAGGAGGGCATCCAAGAGGGGGGGGGGGGGGGGGGGGGCGAAAATCATGGACAGCGGCATGTCCGCGGCCAAGGGGGGGGGCGGGGGACGTAGTGAAATAAGAAGAGGCGCCATCCATGAAATCTCGGACAATATCATGATACCCGCCATGATATCCCCCCACTAGTCATCACCACCCTCTTTGCCGCCCCCGAAAGCGAAGCCGCACTCTGAGGCAGGAATGTTGCTGGAAGCGCCTCAGCAAGAACACGACGAAGCACGTGTGCTTAGCGTTTCGCGGCCGCGGCCCCTGCGACACGCCACACCCTGCAAGCGGATGGCGTGTCGCTCTGCTTCGCGAGACGCGAGCCTGTGAAAAGCTCGGAATCTCGGGGCTTGTGGACCAGGGCGCGCTTCCAGGGGCTCGCGCCGACCGTTGGCGCGCCAGAACCAGCGGCACGCCAAGCTGAGCAGGCGTTCCCGGCGATGTGAAAGCCTCTGACTCTCGAGGCTTAGGCACCAGGACGTGCTCCAGGGGGTGGCGCCGACCCGTAGTGGGCCAGAACCGGCGGCACGACAGGCTGAGCAGGCGTTCCTGACCGCAACACGTGGTGGAGTCAGGAACATACAGAAGGTGGCCAGCGCTGAAGGCAGAGCGCTGTCTGGCGGGGCGACCCAGGGCGTCACAACGCGGCCGCCCACACACGGGCCTCCTCGTGGGACCACCGGATCCCCTCCTCTGACCCCTGCGACCCGCAGTTCCGGGGAGACCCTGGCGATGACTCCCATGACTTCGGCGCCGAGGGCCCCGTCGACCTCCCGCTGCTCCTCTTCCCTCATCCGTCCTCGTCCTCCTCCTCCTCCGCCTCCTCTTCCCCCTCCTCCCCCTCCTCCTCCTCCTCCTCCTCCTCCGTCCCTCCTCCTGCGCCCCCTTCCTCTCCCTCCAACCTTCGGTTGCCAATGCTCCTACCCCCTCGTACTCCCTCCTCTCGGCCTCCTCCCCTCGAAGAAGGGCCAATTGCGGCAACGGCGGCTCAAAATCGATCCCCGGACCCCTCCCGGAATCCAGACGCACCAATGTTCCGAGCTGCGTTCAGCCGTTGCGACGAGGGGTGCCCCGAAGGCTACCCACCCTTGCCTCAACTCGCCCTCCTCTGATCCTCCTCCACCTCCTCCTCCTCCTCCTCATCCTCCTCCTCCGCCCCGCCCCACCATCCTCCCCGATCTCCCTCCTGCTCCTCCTCCCGCTTCTCCCCCAAGAGACCAGGACGAACGAACACACTCTTTTGCGTCGGCGGCTAGGCAAAGTGGCTGCGCCGGAAGGTGGGGCATGTGTAGGGCGTACAGATGCGAATGAAGCCGCCGAGCAAGGGGGACGATGGGGGAAGGCCTGGCACAACGAACACAACATACACACACGAATCCTCCAGACGGCCGTCGTAAGAACCGCCGACACGAAGAAAAAACATGGTCCGCCGATGGACCTCTACGGACCGCCAGCACCCGCCCAGGAGCCGGACAGTTACACCCTCCATGAGTTCCGCTGATGCGAACAAAGTATACAGAGAGAGAGAGAGAGAGACCAACCCCAAAAAAAACCCGTGCACGTCAGAGGTGCATTGGCAAAAAGGGGGTGAAACAACACCGACTGGCGATGCGAAGCCTCCGGCGTCACCGGCTCCATGCACATGGAAGGTTTACAAACTTCATCATGCATACCGCACTCGCCAAAATTGCCCGCAGGTGGACGACCTGGGAGAGCAACCGCAAGCAGAGGGGGCAGGGGCGAAAAAATACAACATCTCGAACAATCATTATCAAACCAGGTTCCTTCTTTCCGCCGATGTGTTTCGAACCATATCGATATGTGGGGATCCTGGGACCAGAAACTGAATGAAAACGCTCGAGGTGAAAACAAGCAATGACCTGATCACAGGGCTCCTCGAAGACGACTCCATGAACCTATCTTTGGGATGCGATTCGACCAGAACTTCACGATTCGACCAAAACTTGAGGGGGAACCTGGCTGGTGCTGACAAGGAGCCAGCCGGAGTCCCGAGAAAAACAGAACAAGGCATCCCAGGAACCGCATCCTGAACGGTCAAAGCGGGGACGCCCTCAATCGAAGGAAACGGGTGCTCGGGGAAACGGGCCGTGGACCCCAACGAGAAACGGCCTCTAAAGATGTTCCTGGCTACGTCTCCGCGATCAACCTTTTTACCTAACAGCTTGTTCTGATAGGTTTCTAGTGGTGTTAAAAAGGAGCAGCAGATGACTCCAGAGGGGGGTCTGGGCGGGTGCCGGACAGGGTGCCGCAGAAGTCGTTTTAAGCCAACAGTCACACACTTCGTGCTCTGCGATTTCCCAGAACTCCATTCCCGGGCCACATTCTGAATGCCCAGAGCCAACTGTAGGACACTTCGTGCTCTTCAACTTCCCAGAACTCCATTCCCGGGCCACATTTTGAATGCCCGGAGCCAACTGTAGGCCACTTCGTGGTCTTCGAGTCCCCAGAACTCCATTCCCGGGCCACATTTTGAATGCCCGGAGCCAACTGTAGGCCACTTCGTGCTCTTCGAGTTCCCAGAACTCCATTCCCGGGCCACATTTTGAATGCCCGGAGCCAACTGTAGGCCACTTCGTGCTCTTCGAGTTCCCAGAACTCCATTCCCGGGCCACATTTTGAATGCCCGTAGCCAACTGTAGGCAACTTCGTGCTCTTCGACTTCCCAGAACTCCCATTCCTGGGCCACATTTTCAGCAGGGGCAAGAGCACGACGAGGAGGAGGACGAGCAAGACCAGGAGGACGAGGACGAGCAGGAGCAGGACGAGGAGCAGGAGGAGCAGGAGAAGAAGGACGAGCAGGAGGAGGAGGAGGACGAGCAGGAGGAGGAGGACGACCAGGAGGAGGAGGACGACCAGGAAGAGGAGGAGGAGGGAGGAGGAGGGGAGGGGGAGGACTACCAGGAGGAGGAGGAGAGGAGGAGGAGGAGGAAGAGGAGGAGGAGGAGGAGGAGGAGGAGGAGGGGACGAGGAGGAAAAAGGGGGGGGGGGAGCACCAGGAGGAGGAGAACGAGGACCACCGGGAGGAAGAGGAGGAGGAGGAGGAGGAGGAGGAGAGAACACCAGGAGGAGGAGGGCGAGCAAGACGAGGAGGACGAGAACGAGGACGACCAGGAGGAGGAGGAGGAGGAGGAGGAGGGGAGGGGGAGGACTACCAGGAGGAGGAGGAGGAGGAGGAGGAGGAGGAGGAAGAGGAGGAGGAGGACGAGGAGGAGGAGGAGGAGGACGAGGAGGAGGAGGGGGGGGGAGAGCACCAGGAGGAGGAGAACGAGGACCACCAGGAGGAGGAGGAGGAGGAGGAGGAGGAGGAGGAGGAGAGAGCACCAGGAGGAGGAGGACGAGCAAGACGAGGAGGACGAGAACGAGGACGAGCAGGAGGAAGAGGAGGAGGAGGAGGAGGAGGAGCAGGAGGAGCAGGAGAAAGAGGAAGAGGAGGAGGAGGAGGAGGAGGAGGAGCAGGAGAAAGAGGACGAGCAGGAGGAGCACGAGGACGAGCAGGAGGAGGAGGAGGAGGACGAGCAGGACGGGAGGGCGGCCGGCTGCCCCGGCCGGCTGCCCCGGCCGGCTGCCCCGACCGGCCGCGCTTGCGCCCGGCCGCGGGGCGCGGTCAAGGGAAGGGGGCGGGGGCGGGCGGTCAAGGTTGATACCCCCTCCTCGCTCGTTCCACTGCCTGCTCGCAGCAGCAGTGGCACCAGCACGTGCACAAGAGATTCCTGCATGAACTGTTGCGCTTGCATATCTGATGGCCTTCGGCCAAGGTCGTGCGCACCAGGGCTCTGAGGAAGGCTCCCTGCGCCCTTCTGGGGAGCCCCTCTGGGGAGCCCCTCTGGGGAGCCCCTCGGACGAATTATTCGGGCCTTCTGCTCGCCATGTCGGGCCTTCCTGGGGGACAGACACACCGGACGAATTATTCGGGTATTCTGCTCGCCATGTCGGGCCTTCCTGGGGGACAGACACACAAACATGGGCCTCTCATATGTGCGCGCCGACTTTGGGCGACGCATGTGCCTGGTCCAGCACGCGCGGTGCCCCCGGGGAGGGGTTGCGGTTTTGCCAGATTGTGAGGACGCTTCAGAGCGGAACGCCCCTCCACATCCTTCCTGATCCCTCACTCATTTCAACCCGCGCTCCCTCAGGTGCACACTGCCGGCGCCAGCGCGAAGATAACAAGCACCTGGGGGGCGCCCCGTTCCGCGAATCCCACTGCAGAGCGGGGATCTCGACCCCCCAATGGGATTCGTGGAGCGGGGGGGGCCTTGAGAGGCCGAAACATTTTTTGGGGCGGGGGGGGCTGCCCCTTTCCCTCGGATGGGCACAGCCCCCCCCTCGCCGGCCTCCTCTCCTTGATCCCTCCTCCTAACGTAACGCGCCCGCTTTAAGTTAGTGCATATGATACATCGACATGCTGTTCGACCCAGAGATGCTCCTACACATGGCTGTTAGGTTGCTTTGCCGGGATAATCTCAGGGCGAGGCGTGAGCAGCCAGTGGCTCTGGCGGGGGACCTTTTCCCCAATGACCAGCTTCTCACTCCGATCCGTTCTGGACGGGCCCGGTGCCAAGAAGAGGCCCCCAGGAGAGCCCGGAAGCGACCGGAACTTGTCGGACGGCGAGGCGTCGGCCAGCCACAGGCGGGGCGCGGCAGAGCGGCCTGCGCGCCAAGACTGACCAAGACAGGGAAGCGGGCCGTCGCCGAGACGGGCGCAGGCGAGCGCCGCGCCCAGCGCATGCAGCACTGCACGCGTGGTGCAGACGGCATCAAGGAAGAAAGAGTCCGCCATGGCTCGGGCGTTGGCAGAACTGGGATTAGTGGAACCTGGTTTAGTGATTTGTACTGGGGGCGCCCCCCCGTCCCAAGTCCACTTACCAGAACTGCCGTCACCCGAAAAACACCAGTTACGGCAAACCTGGTTTAGTGAATCTGGCCAATTGAGGGGCCCCAGGGCCCTACCACTGACCGGGTCCCCTTACCTGGGGTCCTGGCTATACCCGAATAGCACTGGAGCACCCCTTTCCCTCGAGACTGCACTTGTTTGTTATTTCTGGTAGCGGTCGTTACCCGCGGGGGGGAGGGGGGGAGGCCCCAGGTAACGGCAACGCTTGGGCGGGTTGGGGCACGTCGGGCTGGGGGTGAGCTGCGATCGACAGAGACTGCGCAACAGCACCGGCATATGGGGGGGGGCTGATCATCCGGGAATCATCCGGCCCTCCCCCCCCAAACCCCCTCCCCACATACCATCGTTACCACTACCTTGGCCATGCGGGGGGGCACGGGAGGGGAGGTTGGCCTGGAAGACGTCTGTTGCGCGCCAGATGATGAACAATATACGGCAGGTTCGTGTCGTGTCGACCCCGGCGTTGGGTCCCAACACCGCGGGGACCGTTCAACCTTGAACGATCGGCCGTGCCCGAAACGTCAGGATCGTTCCACATCGACCGATTCTGGGCCGCCGCCGGCGTTCCACGCTGAACGCTGGCGGCGGAGTCGCCGCCGGTCGACACGACGCGAACCTACCGTACTCAGGACAACCTCCCTTCATGGCGATCGAGGGCGCGTCAGCCAAGAGCCCCCCCCCCCCCCACAGCCAACCCGTATCACAAGGGTGCGCGGCAAGGATGCAGAGGCCTCGGAAGGCCATGCGGACACTTTGCGAGCGGGGGGGCGCGGCCAGCGGAAGCGGGCAAGGATGGGCCGAGGAGGCAAGGATGCAAGGAGGAGGAGGAGGAGGAGGAGGAGGAGGAGGAGGAGGAGGGAGGGAGGAGGAGGGAGGAGGAGGAGGAGGAGGAGGAGGAGGAGGAGGGAGGGAGGAGGAGGAGGAGGAGGGAGGAGGAGGAGGAGGAGGAGGAGGAGGAGGAGGAGGAGGAGGAGGAGGAGGAGGAGGGGCACCCCTGGGAAGGCTGCCAGCCCTTCCGGCGCGGCGGGCCGGTCACACACAGAGAGGGCGGGGGCCGAGGCGGGCCGAGCCGCGGCGGGGGCGGAGGGCGGCGGGAGCGGAGGGCGGGCCCCGAGAGGTAGGCGAGCGCGGCCAGGGAGCCGAGGCCGAAGCTGAAGGCCTCGCGCCGCACGCGCCGTCGCTGCCGTCGTCGCCGCCGCGGCCGGCGCGGCGGCCGCGGTCGTCGGCGCCGCGGTCAGTCGTCGTGGTCGTCGTCGTCGCGGTCGTGGCGGCCGTCCTCGTCGCCGTTGCCGCCGGCGTCGGCGCTGCCCTCCCTCGTCTCGCAGCTCGCCTGCTCCTCCACGGCCTCCCCCCTGCCATGGTGGTCCTCCCCCCCCCCCCGTCGTCCTGTTGTCCTCGTCCTCCTCGTCCTCCTCTGCCTGTTCCCTTTTCGTCTGCTCCCTTGCGGGAAGCTTGAAGTTCGATCACGGGGCCAGCAAGAGAAATAATATGAAGGTCGGTGGGCTACCTTGCAGCCTCCCCCGAATTCGCCTGGCCAGCCAGGCCTCTCCAGAGGGCGGAGCCCCCTCTGGAGATTGGGCAGGGCCAAGAGCCAAGATTCGTCTGCTGCTCCGTCCTCCTCCCTCCTCCCTCACAAGTTGATGCGGGAAGGGGGGAAGGGAGGAGGGGGCGAGAGCACGACGAGCGGCAGCAGGACCGGGGCGCGGACGACAGGGAGGAGAGGAGAGAGAGAGAGAGAGAGAGAGGAGGGGGGTGCGAGCTGGGTGCGCTCGCGCCTCATCTGACCTTAGCCTTCCCTCCGCTGCCTTCTCGCTGCGCTGACGTGTTCTCTATCCGCAGACGAGTGGCATCGCCGACCTGCAGCTCCATAAAAAAAACAACGTATCGTGCTATGCGCAAAAGGAAGGAAGAGGGGGGCTCCGTGCACAGGAGGAGGTGGCGGATGAGCAGGAGGATGAGCGGGAGGGAAAGGACGAAGACGAAAAGCAGCAGCAGGCACAAGAGCGCAAGAGCCGGGAGGAACAGGAGGACCAGGGGAAGGCGGAGGAGGGGAAATGAGTTGGGGCGGCAACGATCAAGAAGGTTCTGGACTCAGAAAAAACAGTGCTGGGGCGAGAGCGCCATCCTGAACGAAGGGAGCAAAACGCCGACACGAAAACGAGGCCCACGCTGAAACGGACGCACGGTTTTGAAACACCGAAAACAATCATATTACAAAACAACCATAAGATACACCAACAAAAGCAAAGCGCCGATCCCAACATGAGGCCAACGTTGAAACGGAAACACCGTTTTGACTACCCGGAAAAACTGCACAACACCATACGATAAACAAACAACAAACACCTGCTGAACTCTTGTATGAAAAGCAGCACGCGGAGAAGGCCGAGCATCTTCCAGACGGAGTCGGAGGCGAGAGGAGAGTAGTATTCATAGTATGTGATTGTAGAGGACGAGGGTAGGTAGGATGATGGAGAGGAGGAAGGAGTGCAACGACTGCGGCGGCGGCGACGACGACCATCTCGACGACGACGAGCGACGGCGGCGGCGAAGGGACGACAACGACGACAGCGACCACGGCTTCCACGACGACGACGCGGCGATGGCGACAGCGGCGATGGCTACAGCGGCGGCGAGGGCAACGACAACGGAGGCGGCCATGCGCGCCAAGGCGGGGGCAGGTGGAGGCTGGAGCAGGCCACGCGTGTCGAAGAGCCCCATACCAAGTGAGCCCCCCCGACCCGAATCCGCCCCTCCCAGAGACCCATTAGTCGACGCACGTGCCTCAACTGTCGGAGGTCCGTGCGGATTTCCTGGATGGGCGCTCGGCGCGCCAGGCAAGGGGGCCCAGCGCCCATCCAAGAAATCTGGTCGGACCTCCGAAAGCCTATGTTTTACAGTGGCTTGTTCCCTTGAATTGACTGATAAGCAATGCAATTACCTTATAACCCTTTGGGAGGGGACCAAAGCTAGGAGGTCCAAGCAGTAGGGATAGGGGGTCTTGCTCAGCAGATGTATGAGACCTCACCCCCCAGAATTGAGATCACCGATGCGAAGACGGGGACCTCAGGGAGGCCACGTCTTCATCCTGTCATTCGGGTAAAGGGCTTCCTTTGTTCTCGATGACCAACGTCTCGCTCCAAAGCTTAAAGTCGGGCATGTCCCCCTACAGGGGGGATCTTGGACAAAAAATTGAGGATTGCCAAAGCGTACCCCAAAATGGCCCACAACAGTCAAATAATCGTCCCCTGACTATTTTTAAAAACCATTTTCGAATCTTCCTCCTGTAGAGGGACGTGCCCGACTTACTCACAGAGCCCTTCACGCCTCCTCTCCCTGGGCGGGCGGAGGGCGCTAGAGAAACCTAGCGCTCCGCCATCGATGGGGCACCCGTCCCCCAAAAAGTGTGCTGCCTCCTCAAGGGGGACCTCAGCTATGTCCCGTCGCGGCGCTGTCCGCGCCGAAGCCGTGTAGAATCCGCGTCGGCCTCTCGCCGGGTTTCCGTGCCGAAGCCGCGCCGAGTCCGCGTCGGCTCCACGCCAAAGAGCCGCGCCGCGTCGGCAGCGAGGCCGCGCTTCGGCAAGAGGAGAAAAGGCACCGATCTCCGGGGGACGGGCGAGGCCCCCCGAAGAAGATGCAGCGCGGCCGGGGCGGCTGGACACTTCCCTGCGGGGGCACGAGCGGGAAGGAACTTCCGAGCCGCTCAACGGCCAGGCGTCCCCAGCAGCGGCACACACTGGATACCGACTGTCGTCCGCGGACCTCGTCGTATGCCTGCCTGGACAGTCACCGCCTCCTGGCCCTCCCACTGGAGCCTCCTGGCACCTCTTCGCCGCGGAGGTCCCTCGCCATCGCTCGGACGTCCATTCTCCATGCATGTTCTGACTTCGTGCGTGTACTTTTCGATTGGTGATCAAAGATACTCGACGATGGTCCTCAACGAGCACGTCCGAGCGATGCCAAGCTCCTCGGGCCGCCTCCTGAGCCTCAACTGGGGCCTCCTTGGTGCCTACCTAGAGCTTCCTGGGGCCTCTCGCAGACGGCACCAAATGGGGCCAGTGCAATTCGCGCCGGACTTTCGCACCGCATCCGATGCATCCACCATGCATAGGCGCCGTCTGGATGGAAAACATCTCGGGCTCCGTATCGCGCGGCATCGCCGATGTATCGGCGATGCGGCGCGAACTCTGCTGCAAGCTCGTTGAAACCATGGATCGTTCAACCCTGCACGATCGCCTCCGACAGCGCAGAGGTTTCAGTTCTGGACGAGCTCAAGGCGCTGGTGGGATTCAACCTTGACGGCCCGCGCCGGCGTCGCCGCCGCGTCGATGCGGCGCAAACCTTCCGCACTCTGGCCCCATTCGGGCAGCCTGGGTCCCAGAACTTTCTCGGGGCCCCTCCCCTCGGCTGGCCAGGGGGCAGCGGCGTCGCCGCAGCGGGGGCGGCGCCGCCAGGGGGCGCCGTCGACGCCGACACCGACGCCAACGCCGACGCCGACGACGAATACTACGGCGACGGCGACGGCGAAGGCGACGGCGACGACGACGACCACAGAGACGACGACGGCGACGACGACGACGACGTGAACGACTGACGAAGACGACGACCACATGGACGACTGACGAAGACGACGACCACATGGACGACTGCGACGACGGTGCCGACGACGACCACGACGACGACGAGCGACTGCAGCGACAACGGCACCGACGACTGCGGCGACGACGCCGACGCCCACTTTGGGGCTGCCGTCGCCAGCGCCGACGACGCCGACGGCGGCGGCGGCGAGGGCGGCGAGGGCGCCGCGTCGACGCCCGAGGCCACGGCGAAGCCCACGGTGCCGGAGGCGCCGAGAGCCTGGCCGCCCCGCGGGGGGGGGGCCTCTCGGCCTCGCTGCTGCTGCTGTCTACGCGTCTGGCGCACGGCCTCGGGGCCCACCCCCCAACAAGGGAAGGAGAATAAGGGGGCGGGGGGGGAGGGATGAGGGAGGAAGAAATGGCGAGGAGGAGGATCTCAGAGAATGAAAAGCAGGGGGCGCATTGTTTGTGCCTTGCGCGCGCCAGCATGTCTCTTTGGTTGATCCTTTGAGCTACCCCAACGCAACCTAGATCGCCCAACTCTCCCGGTGATGAATTAGGCATTTGTGCGCGATGAGCAGAGTCTTTGTCCAGCCAGCTGGAAGTTCCGCCCAAGGCTGGCACGGGCAGTCGACATACTCCTCCCGTTGTTTGTACTAAGTGTGGGATAAGGAAGGATGTGCATGTGAATAATGAAAGAATTCATGCGATCGCATATGGTTCGCAACTCAACATCGAAATGGACGGTTGGAACTGTTGACCACGCATCTCAATTCCTGGCCCGTCATCTCGAGCGCGTCCGCTCTTCCAACCAACTTGGCGAATCGACCGGACTGTCAGCTTTTTCACTTTGAGTAGCAAAAATGTTCCCACCTGGTGGTGAATGCGGTAATAACGTAAGATCTGGTACATTCCTGGTTGACAATGGCTGTCACTCACCTGTTCATCTGTGAATGGTGGATGCTCGTCGCCGGAGGCGTGTTTTGTTTGGCCCCTGTCGGAACTGCTTCCGCAGGCTAGACAGCGTCGTTGGCGATTTTGCCACATCTCCACTCCACATGATCACGACATGGTGCTTGCATTGACGGCCCCGTCGACGTTCCCAGCTCCGTTGGTTGAAGCCTTCGGCGGTGCGGGCTCCACGTCGTCCGTCGCCGACGTTTCCGTCGTCAGTGGGCCCGTCACAAGCCGTCGTGGACATGGTGGCGCCGGCGAATTCCATGCCTGGGTCGTCAACGCGGTTGTCGTCGCGGTCGGCACGTCGTCCAATCACCATCTGACGCGGGTCTCCCTGCGCACCAGGTGGAGGATGCAGCGGTGGTGGTGATACTTGGACGCGGTCGCCTCGTGGCGGCGCGCCTGGCGATGGCGGCGGCGGCGCTGCCTCAAATTGGCTCTGGAGGCGCAGTTGCTGTTCTCGGAAAGTCGGAGCTGTCCCCAAGCACCAACAATTCGGCGCCAGGGTCGCCGGAGTCGTCGTGAGAGCGTTCGTGTACGAACCATGTTTCGAAAGTGACCTCGGTCGCGGTGGGGTCAACTTCCATCACGATGCGTTGTGCCTCCTCGTGCGTGTCCTAGAGGAAGGGACCCGTGGCACTAATCTCGTCTGCCTGATAAATCCCGAGAGCCCTCTGAGCGTAGGTTGTGTAACAATGTACATCTTCCCTCTTGCACAACCCTCTTCCCTTCGGGGAGGGCCCCCCACCCCCACCCCTGCCTGAGGATTTTTTTGTTGGAGGGGGGGGCGAGGAGTTAGTACGCCCGAATGGGCCAAGCTGACCTCCAAAGGGAAACGGATGCTACAAAGGCGGCCTCCTAAAAAGCCCAAGATACCAGCAGATGGCTAGCAAATATTGTTCCCAACCTTCCCCACTAAGATCCCAACGACCGTTCCAAAACGACCCCACATGCTCTCGGAACACCCATCACGACCCCCCCCCCCAAGAAACCCAAATGTTTCCCGTTTCGCTTTCCGATACGCTTTTGAAATTTGTAAGTGGCCCGAGATGGCCTGATTGAGCCATGAGAGGGGCCCAAAAGGCCCCCCAACACTGCTCCAAAAGCGGCCCCCAAAAGGCTCCAACATGAGAATCGGATGGTCCCAGCATGGAGGAGGCAGATCCCCCCCCCCTTCCTGTGATCGATCGCCTCCAAGATGGCCTCGAAGAGGCACTCCAGGGCTCCCTAGATGGCCACACGAGGACCCCACGAGAGGGGGCCCCAACACGCCCCCCCCAAAAAAACAAACAAGAAACTCACCACGAGAGCCCTCAGAGGCGGTTTGCCCCCCTCTCCTCCCCCCCCCCTCGCCCCCCCCCCCCCACGGGCCACAGGGGTGGCCCAAAGAGGCCCGCCAAGGCCACACCCGTGCTACCATAGATTGTCCAATTCATCCTGGTTGCCCGCTAAGTTTCACTATACGTGTCCGCTTCTCCCATCCCCCGTCAGCTCTCATGGGCAACGTGTCCTTGCCTGGGCTGGCGGGGGCGCGCGACGTACGCAGGAGCCGGCGCGGACCCGAGACAACGGTTTATCGGAGCCTGCGCGGTGCAAGCTCCACAGACCCAGCGCAGTGCCGCCAAGCAGCGCAGCTTAATGCCAAGGTGTTCTTCGTTTTCGTTTTATTTTCGTGTTACCTAGTTTTGTCTTCAATCCGCCTTCGACGCAAAACGAAATCGAAACGAAAACGGCCAACGAAATCGCCAA